TACATCAATTGCATCCAGCATATTTGTGCATATGTTGCCATCATCATTTTCAAAACATTTTCTATTTGAACCCTTGGTATCAGCTCCTCTTTTTGCCTTCCTCTCCCACCCCACCTCCCTCGTGAACCCTTGATTAATTATAAATTATTATTTTCATATCTTACACTGTCCACTGTCTCCCTTCACCCATGTTTCTATTGTTCATCCCTCTGGTGGCAAGGGGAGTTTGTACGTGGATCCTTGCTATCAGTTCCCCCTTTCTCCCTCTTCTCCCCCCATCTTCCCCGTCCCCTCATGATATCACTGCTCCCATTGCTGTTCTTGAGGACTTTCTCTGTCCTGGATTTTGTGCGTTGAGAGCTCTTATCTGTACCAGTGTAAATGCTCTGGTCTAGCCAGATTTGTGAAGTAGAAGTGCAGTCATGATAGTAGGGGTGGTAGTGGTAAGCATTAAAGACCTAGAGGAAAGTTGTGTGTTTTGTGGGTGCTATACTACACCCTGACTGGCTCATCCCTTCCTTGTGACCCTTCTGTGAGGGGATGAGCAATTGTGTACAGATGGGCTTTCGGTCTCCTCTCTGACCACCCCCACCACCCCCGCAATTTGCATCGATATAGTTATTTGTTTTGGATCTTCTGATACCTAATAACTGATCCTGTTGACAAATCATGATCACACAGGCTTCCATGTAGATTTAGTTGCTTCCCTGCTAGATGGCACTTGTTTAACTTCAAGCCTGTAAGGCCCAGGTATTATATCTTATAATAACCAGGCATCATCAGCTTTCTTCACCGCATTTGTTTATGCACCTGCTTGGTCTTCAGCGATTGTTTCAGCAAGGTGAGCATCACAGAATGGCAGGTTATTAGAACAAAGTGTTCCTGCATTGAAGGAGTGCTTGAGTAAAGGCCAAATGTCCATCTACCTTAATACTTAACATATAAATAAATGTACACAGATCTATATTTCTATCATTATATATTAAATATATTTGCATATGCACATGCCTATATTTATACCTCTATAAATGTCTTTTGCCTCCTAGTTCTTTCCTCTATTTCCTTTTACTTTCCGCCTGCCCCACTATCATGTTTGACCTTCATTCGGCTCTCTGTACTTCCTCTTGGCTACATAGCACTTGATCAAACCCCACCAGGCATCCTATGCTCTCCTTGCCATTGATTTTAGGGCACTTATTGTTCCCTTGTCCCGGGGTTTGTTGGCTACCCCCTCCCTTTCCCCCATAGCCCCCTCTCCCAGGTCCCCCCAGAACCATTCATCCCATTGTTTTCTCCTAGGGATTGTATTTCCTGCCTATCTGATATAGATAGACAGGGAAAAAAAATAAGAGAAAAAAATGTCTATAAATAGTTTCAGGTCTGTCTGCTGACACTTACGAATGTTTTCCTAACAAGTCTAATGAGGTGCCCACTGAGTCCAACGTCTGTTTTCGGGACCCTTTGGGGTCTTCATTGCTTTACTCCCCTTGCTGCTCTGTTGTGCTCCTTTCGTTTCTCGTCCAGGTTGGGGGGTGGAGGGACAGGCAGGCAGTCTGTCCCATCTTATGCTTTATTTGTATCTTAGTCTCTATACTAGTATGTTTTTAGCTTTACCAGCTTAATGTGACTTTGGTCTTTATTGTTTTCTGTTGGTTCTCCCAGCTGGGAAGCTCAGGGGAAGAGGGTGCATAATGTGCATAACAGGTACAAGGGGTTATAGGGAATACAGGGATGATGGGGAAGGAAAGGGAATCTCGAAGGGAATGATGAAGACAGGAGGGGAGAGAGAGCACTAGGACGGACTGTGATGACATAACTCATCTTGGAGGCGATTTCACCAAAGGAAGGGGGATGCTCTAAACAATCAATGCAGGGGTGATTGGACAATTCGCCTTGATATTATTGAATGAATGACTGAACTATTGAATTATATGATGTGTAAGTTACTTGCCAATAAAACTGTTGAGGGGGGGGGTAAGAGTTCCACAGAAAGATTCTGGTAAAGAGGAAGCAACAGAATGCTGAAGGAGAGAGAGGAGGTCACTGTGGGCACAGAGAATGAAGGATGGAAATGCATGTGGAACTCAAGGCCAGGGTTCCGATCTGATGAGAACTCGTTGTCCATCATATCAGAAGGAATCATGGATAGAGTCGCTGGTAGATTGTGATTTAGTGGATAGTAACACAAGGAAGCTCATGTCTGGTAACTTCTGTTTTTAACAAGAAGGACAAGCAGTTCATTTGTAGAGAGCAGAGGGAAGAAGGCATCGGAATACAGGACAACATATGAATGTGCCACTTTCGAGAGCAGAAAGAGAACATACCAGGACCACTGGGCAATGTTGCATGCTGATTTAGGATGTATTTCCACAAGTTCAAAGTGACATCAGTCTGCCTGGCTTTTCTCAAGCAGTGCTTGGCTGGTTGGATACAGGCAAGGAGTAGATGTTTACCCAGGGTTGAGACTTCAGCAGGGCAATAAAACAGGGGAAGGAGGAGAGCAGTGTGGGGTCTCAAGTGAAGCATCACCGTGAAGACCACAGACTCTAAGCCCGGTGAAACAACAACCTGTTGCTTGCGTTTTCAGAAGTAGGAGTGCTCATGGGTTACTGGATGTGAGTGGGCTTCAATCTTCAGGGTCAGCTGTTTGAAACCACTAGCCATTCCAAGGAAGAAAGACGGAGCTTTCTACTCCCATAAAGAGTGGCCATCTCAGAAACTTACAGAGATGGTTCTACCCTGAGTTAGAGGGTCACCATGAGTGAGTTTGTTTGTTTGTTTGTTTGTTTGTTTGTTTGTTTGTTTGTTTTCAGAAGGAGATTGTTAGATCTTTATTTCAGGGTTCATTGTTCATTGGTTCAAACCACCCATCTTTCCATTAGTCACAGAGTAGCAGTAGTGATAGTAGTAGTAGCGTGATTAACCAATTGCTATACCTGAGACTCAAGCTTGATAACCAAGCCAAACTAACTGCCCATTAACTAGTCAATTCTAACTCATAATGACCTGAGAGGGGCAGAGTAGAACTGTTCTCTGTGGCTGTCTGTGTATCTTACAGAAGCGGAGAGACTCAGCTTTCTCCTTTGCAGCAGCTGGTAGGTTTGAACTGCTAACCTTGCAGTTAGCAGCCTAATGCCTAGCCTAATGCCTAGCCCACAATGCAACCAGGACTCCTAAGCCTAACAAAGAGGGAAGTAAATTCCTTAAGGGATTATGGCTGCTCTTCAAAATGTCACTTTCACAATTCGTCTTGGATTCTGACATCTTCTTCCTCTCCACTCTCTCCACATGCACTGGAGCTCTCGATGATGTAGAAGAGATGCCGCAATGCAGTTGCCAGAGCAGCAAATACGGACAGACAGGATTGGGCCATTAAAGGGTAGAACACTTAGAGATTCTGAGAGTCCTGTGGTAGTACAGGCTTATCAAATTCTTACATGCAGGAACAAAGTAAAAGTTTCCTATAAAAGAAAGCAAAACAGTACAGCGGCCTAAGGCATTCTTATAATGACTCTCCACATTGTATCTGCTCCCAATGGCTTCACCTTATAAAAGACTTCCAACGTGAAGAGAAAACAAGACATCCTTTCCAGCGCTCTGATTTTTGGCAGCTCTGCAGGTTAAAACTAAGATAACGAACACAAGTATCTCTGCGGCTTCTAATTCTCTAAATCTGAATAGCTTCTCCATCATCAGGGACAGCAACGAAATCAAACTTTGTACCAATGTCTCACAGTTTGATATTACTATATTATTCTTTTACCATTTGTAGAAATTGAAGATGAGCTAATCATTGGCAATGCATGTATTTTTCCTAACAGTAATCCCCACTATGGCTTCACCATAGATGTGTGCCATCAAACAAATTTCCTTTTATTTGAGACCTCCCAATTACCTTTATTCGTCCTCTGTTCAGTCATGTAGCTAAGTGAGTTGGCTTGCTTAATTTAATAGAGGGCCCAGTCTCATGCACATCACCTCGGTATGAGTCAGAATCAGCTCAATGGCAGTGAGCTTATAGCCAGAGAAATATCCAAGGGCAGGTTCACTAGCACCATCAGTTCTAAAACACCTACAGGAACCAGATAACTCTTGGATCTCTTTTCCTTCACATTGCGGTGGAGACAGGAAGAGTGAAAGACAGAGTCATAAAGGAGTTGTGTCAACACAACTTTGTCTTTACTTCCTTAAATTTGTTAGTTACTGGTTTTCATTTTCTGTTGTACAAACTTAGGAGAAAATCCCAGTTTACCATGTGCAAGATGGAGTTTCAAATAAAAGTAAAAAGAAAGCAAATTTTATACAAAACTAAAGCAATGTCTGGAGTGAAAAACAGCTGAATTTTTGTGGGAATCTGGCCCCCAAAGTAGGTTGGTGCTGAGAATGTGCAACTTGCAAACCACTCCTTGGAAGCAGTGGCTGCACTCAGAAGAGGAGAGGAAGATTGGTAGAGTTATTGCCAGTGCTGGGCTCTGACCCAGTGCTTCCAATAAGCAGAGTGAAGATGGACTACGTTACAAGCCGTGGTGAAGGAGGTGACAACGTGATGATGAAGGCCGTGTCATCCAAGGGAAAGATGTGCACCCTGCTCTACACGCAGTATTATCTGAACCGCACATGAGTTGGAGCCAGGAGATACTGGGCTGTGGAATGTGGAATTCTGGACCACACTCACACTACTTAGGGACAAGAATTAACCTCTGTTAAAATGGCCACAGGAGTTACTGCAGCTCCCCAACCGAGGTGCAGCAGCTCCACTTAATATTCCTGTCGGGTGAAACAGCCAAGCTCTTTTGTGCCTGTTTTTAAATGCACATTCTTAATATTCAATAGAATGCTACTCTTTAACAAACTCTTTACTCCCTGCCTCTCTGATGAAGCTTCCTGTGGTCTTTAAAGGGATTGTTAACCCAAGAACAGATAGCACTTTTTCTGCATGAGCAGGTTCGGCGGCACTCCATTAAGCCTCCCAGTATTTACTAGGAAGCGTCGTCTCTCACCTCTGAGGAGATGAGCCAGTTGTTCAGTGATGAGCTCAGGAGCCTCCTGGAGAATCTCTTTCACCACGAAGGAGGAGGACGAGTCTCGGGACTCAAACCCAGTGTCACTGGGCCCAACAGGATTAATGACTTTCACAACTGCTGACTCTAGAGCTGTGTCCTCACTGGAAAGCACATGAAGGAAAGGGAGAGACTGAGATGTGACATGTTTCCTTGCAGCTATTTAATCTTCGCTCCCCCACAAATGCCATCCTTTAGCATCTCTTTCATTCTTAATAGCCCAAAACACCAGTAACGCAAATGGCTCAGAAGAGTTAAACTTGATGATTTTCTACCTTTCATGATCGGTGCCCTGTTTCCAAGATACATAGAAACCTTAGCACCTTCGTGACCCATCTCTTGTTTTCCTCAAAAACAAAACAACACCAAAAAAAAAAACCAACACCAGCAAAAACTAAAAACCTCCGAATGCACTGCTATGAAATCGCTGCTGACTCCCAGTGGCTCTACAGAACAGGGTGACCCTGCCGCTGTGAGTTTCTCAGGCTGGAACTCTTTCTGGGAGTAGAAAGCCCAGTCTTTCTACTCGGAGCAGCTGTTGTAAGTACTTTAGGGGTATTTAGGTCATGTTGACACTATTAAATGATACTATAACACTGATTGAATTCGGGACACTGGAGAAGAATTTCTATATTTGAATTTTAGTGCTGATAAAGACTCTTCCAAGGACCATGGACTGCCAAAAGGACAAACAACTCCATCTTGGACGACGTACAGCCAGCATGCTCCTTAGCGGCAGTGATGGAGAGACTTGATCTCACACACTTCGGACATGCTGTCAAGAGAGACAGCCCCTAGAAAAGGGCACCGCAGTCGTGGGCAGCATAAAAGAGGAAAACCCTCAAGGAAATGGGACGTCACCGTGGCTGCACCACTGGGCTCCACCCTGGGACCAAGCAGGAGGCTGGCCCGGGACTGGGCAGTGTTTTGATCTGTTGTACGTAGGGTTGTGGAGAGTTGGAAGCAACCTGATGGCAGCTAAAAATAACGACATAAAATGCATTTTAAAATCCCGATTTAAAAAATGCGAAAACTGGAATAAGGAGGTCAAGAAATCCAGCCATGGTTATGCAGCTCATAAGTGAACTGACTGTCTCTAAAGCCTGTCAGTCTGGCCCCAAACCTTCAACTGTGCTGTAGGAAAAATGCTACCTGCTACTAAATGCTGCCAGCCATAATCCTTTATGGATACAACTAATATTTATTCTTTGCGCTGGTCTAAATCAAATGAGTGGCACTGGAGGAAACAAGCATGTTGGTTTTTAAAAGGATCTTATTTCTTAAACAATCCCCAACCAGATACATAACTTCAATCTTAAAACCAACCTTAAAGATAACTCTAAGGGTTTGGGATGACACACAATGGTTCACAGTTCTTTCCTTTGTCTTCTTATATCTTTTGTGAGTCTGTTCGCTGGCATGAGTAGTCTTGAAAACATTATCACAAATGTATCAAGTGTGTGATTTTCCTGAATACTGGTGATAAAGTCAGTCAAATAACTTAGGGATCACACTCAGCCAGTTGTCAACCATTATTGATACATACAATTCAGACCACTTCGATATGTTTCAAAGAGCAAGAGGACAAAACCTGCCATGCTCAGAGAGATCAATTTTTAAACACTCTTTAAAATATCTGAACTTTATACATGACATTGTAACAAAATCATACCTAAGTATGCTTCCTAGGAAAATTAAATAGAAAATTAGATACCAGCACAAGTTCTTATGTCATGCATATTCAGAGTTGTTTGCTCGTTAATGTCATCAACAATTTACAACTTGGAAAACTATGAAAAAATTAACATCTCAAACTGCTGAGAGGTAGAAGGGATAAGACTTTATTCAATAGCCTTCTAGTTCAGAGCTCAGCACATTAATTCTTTACAGACACTCCTGAACAAGGTGATACAATCCCCACAAGAGCCTGACGCTGAACCTTACCTGGCGAGCACGTTGCCGCCAACAAGCGTCAAGGATAACTTCCCTTCAGCATTTAGCTGATGCAGATTAATTTCATCTCGGAATATGTGGAATGACTCAGAGAGATTTAGCTCTTCTAAAATAAACCTCGTCTCGGTGAAATAGCTGAATTCGGTTCTCTGGATGTTCAGCACTGGCAAGCAGAGCACGCCAGGTGGGCTGACCTACCAAGAAAAAGTTGACTTAATCCCTCACAGCATCAGGAGGAAAATAAAAACAGACATTTTTTCTCAAGCTCAAGGGTAACAGGTACAGGAAATGTAAGGCCTTTGACCTCTCTACATTAGGTTTGGCATTCCTAACTTTTCTTGAACCACATAGGTACAACATTACCCATTAGTAAGTGGTCCTGAGTGTTTTTAACTTACAGATACTTCTCAGGGCTTAACTGAAATGTTTTATGTATCACTCCAGCCCCTTTACAATTAAATGAAAATTTTGGTGTGCTTTTTTTCTTTCTTCTTTTCTTTTTAAACATTCTTCTCTTCGGGAAAAGCAACAAGCTCTCATCAGTTAAGGAATTGTCAGGAAAATACTGAAGCAAGGCAGGAAGGGAAGTGTAAAGCAGGAAGGCATATGAGGGGGTCCGCCCCACCCACAAAGGATTTTTTTCAAGTCTATGATATTTAAATTATTTTTACAAAATCGTATCACCTTTAAAATTCCTCTCCATTATACTTAATACATAGTCGAATCTGTTATTCCATTCTTGGAAACATTTTTCAAACATCTCTTTGGATGGCTGACAGCACCTCCCTAATTTTTTTCTTCACCTCTTCTACGTCATCAAATCGCTATCCTTTCATGACCCTGTTCCTTCGTATAAACAAAAAGAAGTTGCATGGAGTGAGGTTGGGTGAGTAAGGTGTGTGAGGCAAGAGAGGCATACTGTTTTTGCCAAAAACTGGCACACTGAGATGGCTGTATGAGCAGGTGCATTGTTATGGTGGCAAAACCAGTCCCCTGTCTGCCACAAATCAGGCCTTTTTTGTTGCACACTGTCATGCAATCTTTTCAGAACCTCTAAATAGAAAGCTTGATTAACAGTATGTCCTGGTGGAATGAACTCCAAATGCACTATGAGTCGACTTTTTTTTTCCGCTTGGGAAGTTGACAGACATCCAGAACAGGGTTAGTCATCAATCAACATTTCACCTTTTTTGAAATGAGAAAACCACTCCTATACTGGAGTTTTTCCCAAAACGCTATCCTTGTAAGCTGCATTCAACAACAGTTTCTGCCACATTTTTCTCAAGCAGGAAACAAAATTTCACAAGCACATACTGTTCTTTTAAATCAGCCATCCCAAAAAATGAGGTTTGAGTGAAACATTCACTGTGACCAAAGAGAACCTTCCCAGGTGATGCCACTGGGTACACTAACTCAGAGCAAGCTGCTAGGTGCTCACCTAGCAGGAAAAAAATGTGTACTATGAAAGCTTTGCTCTGCCCAGCACAATTCTGGGGTTTTGGGGTACCCCGTCATATACCCTGTTGAAATGGGGTATCTGCCACTCAGCTGAGACCAATTGTTTACATGCAGAAATCCAGGACTCATCTAGAAAAATCCTCTCATTACGCATAAGAGGCTAAGAATGTACATTTTAAAGTGTAATCTATGATATCTAATTATTACAGTGAGTTTTGTCTGTTTGTAATTCCATATACAATTAATTCTATAAAAACTCAATAAATCTGACCTGGCCCACAGATAAACAGATGTGTGATTTCTATTGCTTCCTGATATTATTTTAAAAGCTCTTGTAATAACAAATCTTTATAGTATTTTTCTAACTTAAGACAGTGGTGGAGAAATAAAGGTGGATAACACTCCCAAGGACCATCAAGTGAATTCCAGCTCATGTGTCAAGAACAGAATTGCTCTATAAGGTTTTCTTGACTACAAGCTTTATAGAAGCCACCTGCCAGGTCTTTCTCCCATGGCACTGCTGTATGGATGTGGAAGCCAACCTTTGGGTTCGTAGCGGAGTGTAAGCCATTTCACAACCCAGGGACCTGGAAACCAAATCTCACTATTGCCAAATCAAGTCCCACAGTAACCATTTAGGACTGAGTAGAATGGCCTCCTAGGCTTTCCAAGGCTATAAATCTTTACAGGCGCTGATAGACACATCTTTATCCCATGGAAAAGCTAGTGAGTTTTAACTCTCAGCCTCTCAGTAGTCAAGGACTTTAACTAACCACTGCCCCACAAGATCCTAAGGGATGAGTCCAAACCCACTGCCATTCAGTCGGTTCCAATTCTCTGCCCTACAGAATGGAGTCGAAACTCCTTGGATTTTCTCTGGGAGCAGAAAGCCTCGTCTCTTTCTAGAGCTGTATCTAAACCTGATATTGAATCTTGAGTGCAAAAGAGGAATTGATACCCAAGTTAAGAGCATGTTGCTTGAGCCTGTCCTGTCAGGATTTATACCAGAATTGGAGTAAAAAAGGACATAGGTTCTAGCTCAGCTTCGCTGGGTGACTTTGAGAAAGCCATTTCCTCTCTGAGTCTTAGTTTTCCCATCTGTAGAATGGGTGGGCTGGTTTACATGAAGCCATGTATGTGAAGCTTCAGAGTACTGTGTTCATGTTGCTATACCAGGTGCTAATATCCTGAGAAAGTGTTAGGAAAACAGGAAGAGCAGATTCTCAAGAAGAATCAAAAGGCTTCTAGCAGGGGGAACAGGTCGATAAACTATGAGGAAGGCACAGCAATATAACACATTTCCGTATGTAGCCCTACGGTAAATCCATAGTTACCTCCATGCTGAGTGGCAAGCCTGAAAAGGCAAGAGAGCCACACATTTCTGTATTTTTATCCATCATATATTGTTGTCCCAGTGCAGGGCCGCTATGAGTCAGCATTGACCCTGTGAGTTTGGTTACTGATTGGAGCAATATAACTGGCTTAACACACTCAGTGGCTAACCAGAATATTGGCAGTTCCAGAGCAGCCATAGGTTCTTTGGGTGCAAGGCCTGGAATCTACCACTAAAAAACAATCAGTCACTAGAAACCCCACGAGGCATAGTTCTAGCCCAACACATGCAGGGCTGCCAAGAACTGGGTTGACTCCATTGCAACCAGTGGATTATCACTCCTCCCTATTTTATCTATCCAAACCCCTTTCCCCACCTTTTTTGTTGGGTGCAATTATATGTATTTAAAGCATTGTTGTTAGTAGCTGCAACATTTCATTTCCTTTTTAAGGGTTTTTATCCATGCCTTTTTCCATGTGAAAGTCAATCTACTTCCATTATACCTAGATTAGCAACATTTTTTCCTTATTGAGTCAAAATATGCAGTTAATAAGATCATTTAATAAGATTAGTGTTTTACATGCATGTCTTGACACATGCACATTTATCTCCTCATACCAATTAATCTCCTTTGTAAAGTTCAATGAATTTTAGGATAAATTTGATATAAAGCCCACATGTAGAGCTCAGACTATTACAGCCGGCATTTTTGTCAGCTGCTGCCCTAAAGCAGTTCTTGCCCCCCACAGCTCATTCTGGAACACTGGTTCTCATGTGCATTTAAATCACTCCCGATCAGCTAAGCATACTGTTTGAGGCCAAGGAGCCAAGTACAATTGGGATTTTAAAAATCCAGACTCCAGAAATTTCAAATTTTGATTAAGTTTAAAATAGCACTCAGACATTCATATTGTGCTTTTTCTTAGGCTTTAAAGTGAACTATTACCCTGAGCCACTGAGTTTGGGGGAATATAAAATTTTAAATGATCTATTGACAGGTCTCCCACCCCTGTACACATGCCACAAGAAGTCTTGGTGGTACAATGGTTAAGTGCTGGACTGCTAACTGAAAGGTTGGTGGTTTGAACCCACTAGCTGCTTCTCAGGAGAAAAGACCTTTCAATAATCCCCTGTAAAGATGATCACCCAGAAAACCCTCTGGGCGTCCTCCTTCACCCAGTTCTACTAGCGAGAGTCAGAACCAAGTCAATGGCCTCAACACACAGCATGCCAGAGCCCTCAGGGTAGGAGGACTCTTGCTCAGGGGAGGCTAGCATTACCTAGGCATGAGCTCGCTGTGCAGTGCAGACAAAAGGAACAACCAGCACACGGGTTGACAGCTTGCAGTTGGACAGCGCAACAATTGCTCGGTGGCTGAGATTCTTGTCAATACACTCTGTCCTTCATATGCAGTTTATTCTGCATATATTTTTCTACTCCCAAGGACTAGACTATCCAAGGCAGACAAAATAAGGTTAAACAAAACAAAAATTCAGACCCTTACTTTCATTACCTTTCCTAATTCCCATAACAATTAAATTCTTTTATTTGAAAATATTGTTTTATTTTATTTGAAAAAATCGACAATTTGAAAACAATGTTTTATGGAGGCAGTCATTAAAAATAGCCAGAACAATGCAAACCATCTAGTAGGTGTATATTTGTCAATTCATAAATTGCAGTACTTTATTTTCTGTAACAACGAACCAGAGCATGAAATATTATGCTGATGACTGTTTTCCAGGAAGTGTGTGTCCTTACAGGTTATGTAATAACTAAACTATAAAAAGCATCGGCTTTTCTCACCTTCTCTAGAAAGTAAGCATATGTAAAGGCAGAGATGAGAGAATCCAAGTCACAAGATTTATGTCCAATAACCACGTGGACTTTCTCCAAGCGTTTGCTTCGATTCTGAAACAAATTCAAATGAAAAGTCAAATTTTTAACCTGAAAAGGATCAATAGAAACAGGAAACCCTTAATATTTTTAAGCAATGCCTGAACTAATGCAGAACTCTGTACATGTATCATAAAGTTTGTTGGGCTTTTTGCATACTTTTTTTCTTTCATTCATTTTTTTTATATAAATCATCTTATTGGGGGCTCTTACAGTTCTTACCACATCCATACATACATCCATTGTGTCAAGCACATTTGTACAGATGCTGCCATCATCATTTTCAAAACATTTTCTTTCTACTTGAGCCCTTTTTCCCTCCCTCATCCCCTCTCACCCACGTGAACTCTTGATAAATTATAAATTATAATTGTTTTCATATCTTACACCATCCGTTGTCTCCCTTCATCCATGTTTCTGTTGTTTGTCCCCCTGGGGTGGGGGTGGGGGGTTTTCTATATCTAACCTTGCTATCGGTTCCCCTTTTCTCTCCCTACCCTCATGGTATTGCTACTCTCATTTCTGTTCCTGGGGAGTTGATCTGTCCTGGATTTCATGTGCCGAGAGCTTTAATCTGTACCAGTGTATATGCTCCTATATAGCCAGGTTTGTAAGGTTGAACTGCAGTCATGATAGTGGTGGGGAGGAATCATTAAAAAAAATAGAGGAATGTTGTGTATTTCATCAGTGCTATACTGCACCCTGGCTGTCTCATCCCTTCCTTGTGACCCTTCTGTGAGGTGATGTCCAATTGTCTACAGATGGGCTTTGGTTCTGCACCCCAACTCCCATCATTTGCATTGGTATTTTTGTTTGTTTGGGGTCTTCTGATGCCTGATACCTGATCCTGTTGACACCTTGTGATCACACAGGCTGGTGTGCTTCTTCCATGTGGGCTTTGTTGTTTCCCTGCTAGATGACCACTTGTTTAACTTCAAGTCTTTGAGACCCCAGACATTATATCTTTTAATAGATGGGCACCATCAGCTTTCTTCACCACATTTGCTTATGCACCCATTTTGTCTTCAGCAATCATGTTGGGAAGGTGAGCATCATGGAATGCCAGGTTATTAGAACAAAGTGTTCTTGAGTTGAGGGAGTTCTTGAGTAGAGGCCCAATTCCCGTCTGCGACCTTAATACTTAACATATAATACATGTATATAGGCCTCTATCCCTATAACTATATATTAATATATTTACATATGTTCATGCCTATATTTATACCTCTATAAATGTCTTTTGCCTCCTAGTTCCTTCTTCAATTGCCTTTTACTTTCCTCCTGTCCCACTATCATGTTAGATGTTTTTTCAGCTCTCAGTAATTCCTCTCGGCTACATTTCCCTTGGTCAAACCCCACCAGGCATTCTACAACCTCTTTACCAATGATTTTAGATCTTTTGTTTTTCCCTTGGTATCATGAAGTTTTTAGCATGAGAACATAAATTTAACAATCAGATGTATGCTTGCACAAACTGTAGCAAACAGTGGTGACAAGAAAATGTGGTTCTATTAAGATTACCCAGATTGTAACCACATATTAACTGGATCTTGAAATCATAAGTTTTAGGTAAAAAAGCAATCTTGTTCTAAGGAGCAGTTGCATAGTATTCTACAAAATTCCATCACATGCTTCTTAATTCATGAAGCAAACACGGCAGCCATGTATATGTTCCTGGAATTCAATGCAGACACATAAACTCAATTTGACAGGCATTTATTTTTTCCATGTCAGGTGATACATTCTCTCTGCGTTATACTCTATAATTTGGAAAATGAAATTGCAACACGTTTCCAATCCCAGAGAAAGAGATATGATTAGTATAATTACTTTAAAGTTACAAGACTCTTAAAGATTATGTATAGTCACTTCTCTGAAGGAGAATAAATACTTTTTTTTTGTCTGATTAACTCAATCCTTAATTAAATATTTCTTTATAAAACACTGACTGCCTGGGGCCAGACCAAATCAGGGATACATATGGTAGCCAACTAAAAAGGAGGGAGGGGAGAAAAAAAAAAAAGAAATGGGTAGCAGGGGAACAGGGTACTAACCCACCTAAAGGGGAGTGTATTATTTATACCTCCACAGGGAAAGAGGGACCAGACTTCAACCTGGTGCTCCAAGATGTGAATGCAACACACCGGCATGAAGCAGGGAACCAGTAGAAAGGTCTGAGGGGCCGGCCCCAATCCCAACTACGTGGACAGCTGCCCCTTCCTCCAAAAGAATTCACTTCAGAGGACAGCACTGAAGCTACAGTTCAGGGAGAGGGACAAGTCTGATCAGAGCACATAGGTGCAAATGAAGGGAGAGGAAGAGAGAGTGGAGCACATTTTGGCCCATCAAACCTTGAGGATGATATCCCCCACTCAGAGCAGCCAATACACAGAGAGCACCATATGGCTGGCCCCACTATGAGACATGACAGCCCTCACTGACCCATAGCCCTACAGGGGACAACACTGGAGACACAGTGTGGGAATTGCGCCCTATCTGACCCCACCACACCGAGGCAAAACACTAACAGCAACAGAACAGCAAGGGGAGTAGAGCAAGGAAGTCCCAAGACTTCGGGGCCAGGGTGTGGCACCCCATCAGTCTCCACCAGAAAACACTCCTAAAAGTCAACAAGCAGACCTTGAACTATTTACAGGCTTTTCTTTTTTTGGTCATCGGACTGGTTGTTGTTGTTTTGTTTTCTTTTTTCATTTTGTTTTGCTCTGTCTTGTTTTTGTGCATATTATTATCTCTGCAGGTCTATCTAGATAAGGTAGACTGGATAAACAATCTGGAGGAGAAAATAACAGGGGGGACATTGGAGAGGGGAAGGTGGTGGAAAAGAAGTGGTGTTAACAAACCCAGGGACAAGGGAACAACAAGTGATCCAAAATCGGTGGCAAGGAGAGTATAAGAGACCTGGTAGGGCTTGATCAAGGGCAATGTAACCAAGAGGAATTACTGAAACACAAATGAAGGCTGAGCATGATAGTGGGACAAGAGGAAAGTAAAAGGAAATAGAGAAAAGAAGTAGGAGGCAAAGGGCATTTATAGAGGTCTAAATAAAGGCATGTACATATGTAAATATATTTATGTATGATGATGGAGAAGTAGATCTATATACATATATGTATAGGTTTAGTATTAGGGTAGCAGATGGACATTGGGCCTCCACTCAAGTACGCAGTCAATGTGAGAACACTTTTTTCTATTAAATCGGCATTCCATGATGCTCACCTTCCCAACATGATCGCTGAAGACAAAGCGGGTACATAAGCAAATGTGGTGAAGAAAGCTGATGGAGCCCAGCTATCAAAAGATATAGCACCTGGGGTCTTAAAGGCTTGAAGGTAAACAAGCCACCATCTAACTCAGAAGCAACAAAGCCCACATGGAAGAAGCACACCAACCTGTGTGATAACAAAGTGTTGAAGGGATCAGGTAGCAAGCATCAAAAATCATACCATTGTGAATGTGGGGGAGTGTAGGGTGGGGACTCAAAGCCCATTTTTAGGCAACTGGACATCCCTTTACAGAAAGATCATGGGGAAGAGAGGAGCCAGTCAGAGTGCAGTGTAGCAACAATGAAACATACAACTTTCCTCTAGTTCCTAAATGCTTCCTCTCCCCCACTATCATGATCCCAATTCTATTTTAAAACTCTGGCTAAACCAGAAGATGTAAACTGGTACAGATAGAAACTGGAAACACGGGAAATCCAGGACAGATAAACCTCTCAGGACCAGTGCTGGGAGTGGCGATACTGGGAGGGTGGAGGGAGGGTTGGTTGGAAAGGGGGAACCGATTACAAGGATCTACATATAACCTCCTTCCTGGGGAATGGACAACAGAAAGTGGGTAAAGGGAGACAGACATCGGACAGTGTAAGACATGACAAAATAATAATAATTTGTAAATTATCAAGGTTTCATGGTGGTGGGGGGAGTGGGAAGGCAGGGAAAAATGAGGAGCTGATACCAAGGGCTCAAGTAGAAAGCAAATGTTTTGAAAATGATGAGGGCAATAAATGTACAAATGTGCTTGAAAAAAAAAAGTTGTATTCTATGATCCGGGCAACAAATGTACAAATGTGCTTGACAGAATGAATGTATGTATGGATGGTGATAAGAGTTGTATGAGCCCCCAAAAAATGACTTAAAGAAAGAAAAAAAAAAGATTGACTACCCTTTGAAAATCTGGGCTGGAGATTCCAAAGACACACAGCTTCCAGAAAATTCCATCACAAACCTGTCCACTACAGATCATTGAGACATAAATGTATACCTTTATAGTCATGTCAGAGATGCCAGACATGTGCACATCCTCTACTTTCCTCCTTTGCTGGAACATGTTTCTTTAAAGCCAAATGGAAAGATAATTCTATTCCAATTCTGCTCTAAAGCCTATGCAAAAAGTTAGACTTTTAGTGACCGGTTAGTATATATATTTCTCTATAGTTAGAGGGTTATTCCTTTATCTGCATATCAAAATTAAAACATTTATTTAGTAGCTTATGAGGTGTTTTTAAATTGAATCAGTAAGGTTTCTAGTGTTTGTATAGAAGTACTGGCAGTAGAATCAGGAACAGGTTAAATGACCAGATTGTAGCCTAGGGCACATGTTAAAACTTTCAAGGAAATAGGTGAAGCCTCTATTGGTTACAGGCAAAGATAGCAGGATCAGTGTTGCAGATAGATCATTAAGAATGTAATACTATTAAATTGATTCAGATGGACTTATATTTTATAAAATAAACTGAATCTTAGAAAAACGGTATTTAACTAAAATATGAACTATGAAAACAACTATAACTCCCTTCTCTTATCATCACCCTATGGAGCTCCTGTTTCTTCCATCCCTAACTTCTTTCCTCAGCAATCTAGAGCTCACTCAATTAGCTGAGCAGCCTTTCAGAGCTTTAGTCCAGTTCCCAGTCTCAAAACTGGGCTGCTTCCCCTGTGCAAGACAGGCATTCTAGAAGCACCTAAAGAAGTTTAGGGAAATGGAATTATACACCATTACAACATAAACAAAGTCATTAGCAAATCATATTACTGTAATGAGTCACTGTTCCGAGAAACTCAACAGTCTAAATAGACATTACCTCATTTCTCCTCCCAGGCCCTGTAAGGCAGATTGTAAGATTAATAACACTTTTTAATAGGTCAATAGAGTCTGTGGTGGGGCCAGAGTTGTTCCCAGAACCCATGACCCAGTACAGTGAGTCCTGTCCGCTCTGACCTCTCCATAATGCCATAACGACTTCAGTGTTCATACAAAGATGAGCACAAGAGAAGAGGGAGAAGGAAAATGTAGAATATGCGTTCTAAATACAGAATGTCCTCAGACATGTGCAGCACAGCTGCCCAATCTGATTACTTATCAAGGTTCAATAGCATCCAGGTATGACTCTGTGTTCAATTTTAACCTGACAGCAAGGAAGACAAGAAGGAAATAGGCAGGTCTGCCTGTCAGTTCATTTGGAAAAACAAACCCAATTATTCTTGGAAAAATAATGGAACCCAATAAAATTATAAAATCCAAATAAGGTGGAGTGATTCTGAGCCTGCTAAAATTATATCTATTTCTTCCTTTCCACACAAAGCGATGTGACATTGAGTAAGGTCATGCCACAGAACAGAGCCATCCAATCCTCCTTCCAGAGCAAAATTATGGGAACTGCCTTGGGTGCCAGGCCACTCTTGTCAGGCTCTCTGTTTTTTCCTTGTGTCAGGTAGTGTTCTCTTGAAAATCCTGATTTTGTTTTTCTAGAGAACACTACCTAACACAAGCAAATATATATATATATATACATATACATATAATATATATGTATGTGAGTATAATTATATAGTTAAATATCATTACATAATATATATTATATATTATAATGTTATATAATATATAATATAGTTATATATATATGTATACATACACACACAAATAGGTTTAAACAGCTAGAAGGTATAGAATTGCTAATTAATTCACACAGCAGTACAAGAGGGCTCAGTTCAACTCACTTTCAGAGAAAAAATCATCTACTGAAGATCCTTCAACTCAAGTGGGCTGCCAAGGTCAAGAAAGCAGAAAGCAGTCTACCCTCAGGCAAGACAGGCAGATTCAGCCCCACAGGCAGCAGACAGCAGGGTGGGGCAGCAACAGTCATTAGCGCTGGGAACTTAGTGAAGCAGGCCTGGATGGGATTTCAGACTCAAGGAAGCACAGCTAAGCAGGTCTCAAAAAAACCTTAAGTGCTAGCAAGAGGATCCACAGGTTGGCTCAGCCTACAGGTAGTGCAGCACATGGTTGAGGCAAAGAACTAGGTCAAGCAGGAGCATGCTGATCTGATTTCCAGGGAGGAAGAGACAGGCTGGGGCCTCGGAAAGCCTTTATCTCGGTCGCCCTCCAATCAAACTGTGACCTGATTAAACTCTACCTACAGGTTCCTATGGAGCATTCGTTGGTACAATAAACCTAACTATCACACTGCACTTACATACTTTCTTCCCACTCCTCAGTCATAGCTTCTCTCAGGACTTCCATTCACTCAATCTGTCATTCACAGTCAGTTCCTCCTCCAAGGGACCCTTTCCACCATAATGTACCATTCCCGTACCCTTCTTCAATCAGTTTTTCCCAATGCGGTAGCTTGTAGGCTGCTGTGATCCTGAAAACTTTGCCACTAGTTCTTCAAATACCAACAGTCACCCTAGGTGAACAGGTTTTAATAGAACTTCCTGTCTAAGAACAGACGACTGAGAAGGAATAGACTGTCCACTTCTGAGGGATTTGCATAACATTGTCAGTTAGGTCCTGGAAGATGAGCCCTTTACGTTGGAAGGCACTCAAAACGCAACTAAGAAAGAGCTGCTTTCTCAAAGTACAGTCATCTGTAATGATGTGAATGAAGTAAGGCTTTTGAGACCTTCATTACTTGATGGGCTTGGCTCAAAATGAGAATAAACAGCTACAAACATCTATTAGCAATAGATACATGGAGTATACAAAATATGAATCTAGGAAAATTGAAAATCAACAAAAATGAAATGGAACACATAAGATAAATATATAAAGGAGGTATTAATGAGCTGAAGAGAAGCCCAGTAGCCCTGGCTATGAGTTGGACTATGATCTGCAAGGTCAGCAGTTCAAACCATCAGCCTGCTCCTTGGAAAAAAGACAAGGCTTTCTGCTCCTGTAAAGAGTTGCAGGCTCATAAACCCTCAGGGGCTGGGGTCACTGTGAGGTGGAATAGACTCAATGGAAGTGAATCTGGTTTTTGGTTTTTAATGAGCTGAAATTGACTGTTAATGGCTATTTTTAATCAGATAAATATTTTGTTTCCTATGACAAACTCAAAAGGAATAGAGTCACATTCATTGTCAAAAAGAACATTTCAAGATCTACCTTGCAGTGCAATGCTTTTATAAAATAATACCTATGCACATACAAGGAAATCCAGTTAATACAACTATTATTCAAATTTATGCACCAATCAATGAAGCCAGTGATGAAGAAATTGACAAACTGTACCAACTTCTTCCATCTGAAATTGATCAAACAAGAATCAAGATGCATGGATAATTATTGGCAACTGGAAAAGTTGGAAACAAAGAAGAAGGAACGGTAGTTTGAAAATATGGAATTAAGTAGCTGGAAAATATGGTCTTGGTGATAGAAACTAAGCTGATTATCACAAAATAGAATTTAGCAAGACTAATGACTTCTTTCTTGCAAATACCTTTTTTGAACAACATAAGCAGTGACTGTATATATGGGCCTGGCCAGGCGGAAAACACAAGAATCAAATTTTTTATATCTGTGGGAAGTGATCATTAGGTGTCAGATTTGAGCTGATGTCAAGGATTTCAAGAAGAAAGAAAATGTTTTGAAACGGACTGTTGTAGCAACTGTACAATACTACGTGATGTGATTGAACTGTGGGATGTTATGATATCTTTAAGAGCTCCCGATAAAATGATAAAAAAGAAAAAGAAAAATTGATGTGGGGGTGGTTGCACAATTCTCCTTGATATGATTGAACGATTGCATCATACAACATGTAAATTACTTGCCAATAAAACTGTTAAAGAAATAAAACATTACAAAGGTCTCTTAGTGTTTGTTATTTGCTCTTAAGCTATTAAGAAGAGGGCCCTGTTGGCCCCTTTCTATTTCCTCTCTCCACATATTCATAGAATTAGTATGTCCAGTCCTCATGTCTTTGTCCCTTGATAATTTCTGAGTGGTACAAAGGGTTTAAAGCATTTGACTACTAAAATATCGAAAGCTCAAGTGTGTCCAGAGGTAGCTCCAAAGAAAAGCCAAACCATCTACTTCTGAAAACTCAGCCGTTGAAAACCCGACAGGGCAGAGTTCTATTTGGACACACATCAATGGGGTCACCATGCAGTAAGGACAACTGGTTTTTCTATCCATTTCAAACTGGGGTTTGAATTATTCACAAATTTCTGGATGGTTCTCAAATAAATGTGGCGTGTGCAGTTTTGTCGATTTCATTTGTTATTTTCATCCCATAAATATTTACTGAGAGCTCGTTTTGTTCCAGCTCCTAAGCCCTAGGGTTGCAGCAGTCAGACAAACAGAAGTCCCCGCCCCTGTGGACTTACATTAGTGCAAGGAGACATAATGACCGGAAACACTGGATTATGGTAAATGGGGAAAACAATAGCATGAGGGGAAGTATATGCTGAGGTGAGGCTCACTGTGAAGGTTGAGGACCCAAGGACCCCTCCAGCCAATGGAAATGTTCCCAGGAAAGAGCATGCCTGAAGTGTTCAAGAATTAATTACTGCCCATTCTGTACATTTTCTATGTGTGACTTTGCAAACTGCTAACCATGAGTGAACAGACTGAGTAAGCAAATATCCATTTCCTGGTATTGACACAGCATATCCAGCATTTAAGAATCTCAAGGGACAGGCAACTCACAGCCAACTCCTGAACCCAGTTCCGCCTACGCCCAACACAAAATAGAATCTTGATAATGGGTTGAAATAGATATGGCACTGCTTTATCATTTAGATAGGCTTCTAAATAGCTGAATAGAACCCTTCCTTATGAATGCACAAGAGGAAATATAAGGCGCATGCACCTCAAAGCACAATTTTAATGTGCTGTCAAAGTGTAATCCTGTATGTCGCTAAAATAAGACTTCTTAATGAAGTTCATTTTCTATCTCTTTCTTAAAGTCACCAAAGTGCCCAAGCACTCACTGTCCATTAAAGGAGACTGCACTTGTGAGGCAAATGCACCTTCAAGCCCATCTGCAGAAAACAGCACAATTGATCAAAAAGAAACGACCTCACCATTCACCTTCCCAGAAACTA